GGCTGCAAATAAGTCTTTGAACTTTTATATTCTAATGGCTGCTGGAGCCACAAATTAATATTTGCATCAACATTATTTATATAAAAGAAAAAATATATTTAATATATATAAGTTTGTCTTATCTTTTACTTCTTTTTTATTTTATTTTTTTAATTTGGCTTCTTTTTATTATTATTATTTATTTATTTTTATCATGCACAATTCTCATGCATACGTTAAACGGCACTTCATTGCCCCGTTTCATTTGATCAATCTATCAGACTGCTTTGGGCCGAGCCCATCAATTTCTTATTTTGACTCAGGCCAGACCGAGCAAGAAAATGGGATAACAATCCAAAATTTCTACTCTTTGTTTTTTGTTTTTTCTTGTCTCTTCTTTTATTATGTTTCTTTTTAAAAAAAATATATATTTTATATGTGATATTGCATTTAAAATTTGTTGAATTGTATTATGTAAATATTAAGAGTACACCGTAATTATAAAAACTAGAGATTACCCCACTAATATATTCAATTAATTAAGCCTAAATTCCTAATTCATTAGGACCAAGATGAGGAAAGCTAGTTTTGGGACCATTAGATTGATTTTGAAGAAGTAGGGCAGGCAAGCAGTGAGCCATATTTGGACACGTCATTTTCCTATGTATCTACGAAATAAAACAAAGTTTGGTTTGGGTCATTTCCATTTCTGTATCATATACCATTACCTGATTTATGTTTCGTTTTGCTGGAAACGTAGCGAACATTTTACTCTCTTTTGCCAAACTCCTTTTGTCTTTCTTCTTCCTAATTTAAGTTGTTTCATGTCTCTTATTAATATATATTATAATGAGTTTAATTTAATAACAGCATCTCCTTTCTCTTTACCCAAAATGGTAGGTAACCAAACCCATAACCTCCACACACACAAAAAGAAAGAAAGAAAACCCATCACTTCCATTTCAATGACATTTATGAAAATATTAATTTAGATTAAATATATTTAAAATAATTTAATAAATTATTCATAAATTTATATATAGTTTCAATAGTGCGAGTGATAATTAATTATGATAGTCTGCCACGAAAAATAATATTTTTAAAAAGAAAAATTACATTTATGGAAATTCTTTAATCTTTGTTTTTCTTTTAATTTGTGTGTAGTGTAAAACAGAACAAAGATAAAAGCAAAACAAGGTGGGAACTAAAATAATTGGATCACGTGCCCAAAATGATGGGTCACCGAACTTGGGGTCACCGGTATGTACACGTATCAGTTCTCCCCCAAAGTCTGCACGAACATCGATGTGGACACGGTTCTCCATTATCCATGAAATTACGTCATTACCCACGTTTGAATTTGGCCACATGTCCCCGACCCTTGGTTTTTCATCTTTATCCGTTGCCAGTTTTATCTCCTCTCACGTGCGCACCACCTTCCTCTTTTTAATTAATCGGATTAATTTCAGTTAATTTAAAAAAAATAGTTAAGAGAACTAATCTATTATTAATTAACCCAAAATTCAACTCTTACTTAATTAACAATTATCACAGTCTAAGAAATATTTACTTTAAAGAAAATTAATAGAGAATTATTACTTAATCTTGTTTGAGACGTAATCTTTAATTACAAGCAATTCCACAAACTTACAAAAGAAAAAGTTAAAAGGATATATAATTAAATTGATATTATTCACCCAAAGAAAAAGTATACATGTTGTTTTTTGACCATTAATCAATTTCCGTACTTGCCCACTTGTTTCCCAACAATGATTAAAAAAATAAATTATTCATTTAATTATTATTATTTTTTAAAAAAATATTATATTAAATTTTTAACTCTTTATAATTAATCTAATTAAAAAAATTTAAATATAATATAATATTTAATCACTTGTCAAGATTTTAATGAATTAATTATTAAATTTATTAAATTAAACATTATGAATTGATCATTACCAATTTATATTATAAGTGTAAAATGATAAACTCTAAATTGTTTAAATTTTAAGCATAATACAAGAAATTTAATTAATAAATTAACATGTTGTTGGTTCTCTATGATTATAGCTAACATTTAATTACAATATAGGTATGATTAATTATATTATTGAAACTTGGTCCTACCATGCACGTATCTTGACTACATGTATACGTATGTAGTTATTATATATATGTACTTCGTGGGTTAATATTCTTGATATATTCCTCGTTTTCGTTCGTATAAAAATATAAAAAAGAATACCAAAAAAGTATGGAGCATCAAGAGATTCCTAAGTGTGAGAATGTATTTAAAAACAAATAAGAAAAACATATGATACCAAAACAAAAATGTTTTACACGCTTCTAGATTTCTAAAACCCCCTTAAAAATATGAAATTCAAAGAATAAATTATATTGGCAAACCAGAAAATTGTGGTACATTTTCTAATTTATGCCAAAAATAAATTGTATTGACAAACCAAATGTATTACTACTAAGAGTAACAAATATTTTATAGATAATGCATTGTTATTTTGTAAATTTATAAAAACATCTATTGAGTTTTAAAAATACATGTTTGAAATGGATATCATATTAAAATATGTAATGAGAAAAATATTTTATACTTTTACATTATAAATAATATGATTAGTAGAAAGCAATTTCTTCAGGTTTGTTTGCTATAAATATTTATGCAATTGAAATAAATGTCGTATAATAGAAGTTCGACTAATTCAAATTTTTTTAGAATTTTACTTTGACTGGGTAGGACATCTTGGTTCAATAATGATGCATAGAATAATTAAAAATTTATTCTTAAATTAAGTGAATTCTTTTGTACTACTTATTTTTGAGGCAAATTAATTATGAAGCTATCACTAACGAAAATTAAGACATAATTCTCGACATTTTTGAAAATAATACAATGAGATATATATGTGCCCATAAATATGTCATGTGGATCATTTAGAGATTTTATGGTTTTAATAGATGAATATACAAGATGGTCACATGTGTGTTTATTATTAAATTGCAATCTAATGTTTGCGAAGTTACTTACTCTGATAATTCGATTATGAGCACAATTTTCATAGTATACAGTAAACAAAATTTATCTTGATAATGCATGTGAATTTATATTTGAAGTTTTTAATAATTATTGTATGATTGTTAATATAATTATTAAATATTTTATTATTCATGATCATACATAACATAATTTGATTGAATCATTAATTAAACGCCTCCAATTAATAGCTAGATTTTTACTTATGAGAACAAAACTCCCTACTTCTATTTGATGACATGCTATTTTATATGCATAATACTTGTATGCATAAAGGGTAACTAGTCTAGGGTTAGGAGCCAAATATTGCCCATATTAGAATTTTTGGGTGCTCAATATCGCGTCTTGATCATCGAAGAAATCAATGTGAACAAAAATTCAAATAATAACTTATTTACAAAATGTACAAATTAGTTATCAGATACATTCACTAATCTTAAAAGAATAACAAATCATATATAACAGTTGTAAGTATACCACCTACTGTTTATGTCTCTATAAGATAATATGTTAAAATTACAAATGAGTCTAAGACGTGCATAAGATATGATAAACCAATTAGTTTCAAAAAATAAAAAGTATTGATAAAAAAAATTAACAATCAAGAATTCAAACTAAGGAGGTAGATGCTTTCAAAGAATTCAGTAATATAATTGATTATAAAATTTTAGAAAAAGTTTCAAGTACCTAAAAATGATAATAATAAGATCTCAATAAATTATATTACTATAAAAATACTCTATAAATGTAAAAATATTGTTTACTTTCTCATACGCTTTTTTTATTTTATTTTTTTTAAATATTTTTTTATTATATCATTGACACATTCTTTTTTTATGTGATTGAATTTTTTTTGGCCGAATAGTCATAATTTATTATTTTCTTAAAGAGTGGGAGTTTATGATTTTGTGCACCTTGTATGTGTTACCACACGGCAACTTGCTTTTAATTTTGTTCGGAGGCGAAACATTGCATGTCAATGGTATTAATTATACTATATATTTTAATTTGTCCAATTCAAAATTTCATGTATGGATAAGTTTTGACTACTACCATAAATAAATTTATTGCTTAGAAAATGTCAAACAATGACTTCCATCATCACCCACATCACCTAACTCCTACCTTTGACTCATAAACCCGCTAAAATTTATTTTTCATCTAACGAAAATCCACTCATCCATATATATATATATATATATATATACATATATGTGCACATTTGTCTGTTTATGCATATACATACATATATATATATATATTATAGAGAGAGAGAAGACAATTTTCATGGACAAACCCCTCTTTAATTTTAGTGGGTTTATCTACTCTTAAAGCCCATAGATAATTAGGTGTTTAGTACATTTGTTTTTATATCCCAATTCAAGGAAGAGAGGATGGGATACGCACTATAAATGAATTTAATTCTTACGGGATTATGAAGATAATCATCACCATAGAGTAAGATTAGAAAAATATATAAACAAATAAAAGAAATAAGTAATTGAATAATTATTTGATTTCTAATTACTTTTTGTGTGGTGTGTGTGTCTATATACACATATATATATATGTATATGTATATGTATGTCTTCATGATTGACAAGACGTGTACATTAAAATTAAGAACCTTAATGACAACGAACCATGCCTAAAATAAATTATTATGTACTCTATTTGGATAACGATTGTAGTTTACAAGAATCAAATGTTAAAAACAAAACAAAAAATTTGTACATAAATTCTCTTAAAATTATATTATATAGTTTATACTTTCTTGTTTAATTATAAAAAAATTAACACTTCTAATTAGGCAAATAAAATTAAAATTCTTGCATAAAATCCATGACGTAAAGTTAAAAAGGAGCACAAAGAAGGACATCCACGTCAAACTAAGCCCCTGAACATTGTTAAAATCCTCTTTGTTTTTCCACTCTAAATAAATTATATATAAATAAAATTATTGTTCCTATATATATATATATATATGTTTTTTTTCTATTTTTTACAACGTCGATAATTAGAACCAAACCTAACTTCATATTCAGAATACAAACGAAATCACTATTGGAAATATTCAAAAAAATATAAATAAAAACACCATACTCAAAAATTCAGAAATTTCTGCAATGAATATTATCAACCGGAGGAGGAAGGGTAGTGACTGGAACCTGACCATGGCGGCATTGGGAAGTCTGACCCACTGGCCTGAGTTTGATTCCCCGGTGGCCGGAAAGTCCCCATTTGCCGCTGCTGGGAAAAAAGCAGAGGATACGAAGCAGAGGATGGCGACGGTGAAGAACCGCCAATTGAAGACGACAAAGAAGACGACAACAATGAGGGTTGCACAGAAGACATCTGCGGACGCTGCAGATTCTGCTCCAATAAACTCGTAGCTTCATGCGGTGGTTGTTGTGTTGGCTGCAAATGGAAGTCGCCGGAGCTCTGTAGAAACTGAGTGTACTGCCAGTAGTCACCCAAGATATTAGCAGCAGAGCCTTGAAAACCTTGCGATTGGAAGATTGACGGCATTGGTGTAGACGGAGAAGCTTGTGGCGCAAAATGGGTAGTGAGGGAACCAGAGATTGGCGTTCGGCTAGCAGGAAAATTCTGGATCTGAGTTGGCACCAGACTGACATTTTCCGGGAAATTTAACTTGGCCCTGTTTCCCCTGAATCTCAATGCGGCTTCATCGTACGCTCTGGCGGCAGCCTCTGCTGTATCGAACGTGCCAAGCCAGACCCTGGCAGCCTTATGCGGATCACGAATCTCCGCCGCCCATTTTCCCCATGGTCTCTGCCTCACCCCTCTGTATCTTCTCCTCCTCTCGCCAGTTTCTTCATATGACAAAGCCGCCTCTGTGCTTGATGGCGTTAATGGCGGTGCTGTTGTGCCCATCGCCTGTGTTACAGTGTTCGCAGATTCTTCTGCAAATGTTAATGGAAAAGAAAGGAAGATTTAACTATGGACCAAGAAAAATTATCCGAATTTTTATGGACAAATCTTTCCCTTATTGAAGATAATTGAGTTCGATGTGAGTTGGTGATTTCCTGTTCTATTGCTTTTTCTATCTGTTTTATTTTTTTTTTAAAAAAAGCTTGAGTAATTGAGGTTTGTAATTTTAAGTTCATGTAAAAATAACCAAGGGGAAAATAAACAGTGTTATTATGTAAATTATTTTTACAAACTTAAGACTATTATTAGATAAAAATTCTACCCAGAATATAAAGGGTTTTATTTTCAGTGATTAGAAAATATCAATTGCTGAATCATGGGTATGAAAGAAAATTATATTATTGAGTAATAATAGTAAAATCAGAGAAGATTTTTATGGTCTAACATATTGAATATGTAGATAAAAGGCATATACACTAACCAGTTGCACCAGAGGAAGAAGAGTCGGCATGTGAAACTGTAAAATCATGATGAACAAAGGGACCGCCTCTATAAACCCTTGGCGCCGAAGATTCCAACTGAGGAGGTGGTGGTGCTGCCTCTTCCTCTCTGCCTCTCTTCTGCCCAATCCAGAGACCAGAACCAGACGGAGAAGGAGACCCAGAAGATGAATACCCAGAAGGAGAATAAACAACAGAAGGTGAAGAAGAAGATATTGAAGAAACCGAACAGCCGCCGCCGCCGCCATAGCCCACAAAGCTCTGTTGACCAGACACCACGTGCGTCAGTGCTGACACCATTTCAGACATCTCCGTGCTGCTGTACGCCATGAACATAGGCGCAGAGGTAATTGCCTCTTCCGCTTCATGAATCCGAAAAGGAAAATGAGTCGGCGCAACCACGTGCGACGACTCTAATCCCTGCGTGTAAGTAGTAGCTCCCTGCTCTTCACTTTCCCCGGCGCCGCCATCTGTAGGAGCAGGGAAGCTGACGTACTCGTTGGACCTTCTCTGGTTCGCCACCTTCAGTAAGCACATAGAGAAACCGAAAATAAAGACGACACCAGAAAGAAAAAAATAATAAACAGAAAAAAAAAAAGAAGAAAAAAGCAATGTCTGGTTTTCTAGGCTTTTCCGAGATGCGGTGCGTTTTCGTAAATACAAAACCAGACTCTTCCAATCTTAAGCCCAACACACACCGTCTTTTATATATAACGGCCGTTACAGGCCGTCATTCTAATAGTTCTCATTACTTTGAAATAATCTCCATATTTTTTTGGGGGTTTCAAAAGTTTTTATTATTAAAAAAAAAAAAAAAGTATGTCCAAAAAAATATAAAATAAAAATATATTACACATGTCAACTATGTCTACTGGATACGTTTTGTGTTCACACTTGATATATTATTTATATTTGACTGATAATAACAGCTTTTTAAAGCAATTTTGAATAATATTTGGGTTTTGTTTTGTCTTTTTTTTTTTAAAAAAAATATAGAGTTTTTGTTCGAATTGATTTCTCTCTCTCTCTCTCTCTCTATATATATATATATATTATTAATTTATAATTTACGTTATTTTTGTCCATACCGACATATAATGAAAATAAGGGGGGATTAACCTTGTTGATTTAGGTAAACTTTAAAAAAAAAAAAAAAAGTCCTAATGATTTGGCCATCATTAAAAGATAAATGCAACTCCTAAAGTTGATATGTGTGTAGATGTTTACGTAATTCTAATTTTTGTATATATTAAAATTTAGTACACTAAAATTAATTTGTTATATAACTTTAAATTATATGAAGCTGTTTAATTGTTATATTGGATGTTCAAAGTTGAGGTGCTAACTTGTTTGCATTTATCACTACAATTGTCTAAAATCCTAAATCAGGAAATTTCTTGCTTGCACGGTTGCTTTTCTCTTCCATTCTATATTGGTCGTAAATAATAATTATCACTTAATTATGCTAAAATCTTAATAAAATATGAACGAAATATATAAAATAATTTAATTTTATATAATCGAAACTTTCTTTCTTTTTTTTTTTCTAGACAAATCGATTGCAGATTGAATTAATTTTTTTATTTCACAATTTTTTTTAATAAAATTTCATTGCAAAATTTACATTGATTCTATATGTTTAATAAGACAAAACCCTAAATCGGTAGCTTGCGAAATTTTTAGAAATTTCTCTTTCTTTCCCACCCTTAACTACCTACTCTTCGTCTCGGTATTAATTTCTGAGAACTGTCAAACATAGCCTTAGATAATTCTAGCACCATGCAATAAGGCAAGTAACCTAGTTGTGTTGAGAAAATTATAAATCTTCTTCAAGACATTTTCTTCCATGGATTTATTAATTTATCATTTATGGGTTTATCAACTTTATTCCCTCAGAAAACTTTATTCCACCCACCAGGCGGCAACAAATCTACTTTTCTATATTAATTTGTTTGTGAGATTTTTATAAGTAATCTTTGAACATTTGTATTTATATGTATTTTTAAGACACTGCAACTCGAATTTTCTGTTGGGGAAGAAGATGGCAAAACTATATAAATACATTAGTTTTATTAAAGAGAGATTGATGATATTTTATTTAATTATGAAATAAATATTATTTTATTTTATTTTATTTACAAGAAAAAGAAAAAAAAAAAAACATGGGTGTGCATGCATGTATAAAATATTTGAGCTGTGAATGTAAGCGCTAAATTTTATATGTTGATTTAATTTTTACAACTAATACAAACCTAACTATTTCTCCAATATAAACGTTATTTAATTTGTTTTTTTTTTAAAAAAAAATTCTTAAACGTGTATGTATAGTATGTACATACACATATAAATAATAGCATATAATACATATAAAGAATATACAGCATATATGATAGATTTTAGAAAATATAAATTTTGAGTTTTGTAAATATGACATTTTAAATTTTTTATATAAGATCATCAAAGGTTCGTATGTAAATATTATTATATCCAGGCTGAAAAACATTGAGTTCATTTTAATAAAATATTATAAATAAATTTCATAAAAATTCTGAATATGTTTTAAATAAATTATAAAATTATCAAGTCAAGTGTATAAAAATTAACCTAACTAATGTCAAAATACATGTCCAAACAATCCGAAAGGAAGCCAAGTTAGGAGGTTTCAAAATCTCATTTGAAACCTGAGTTATGTATGTATATATATGTGTGTGTATGTACATGCATATTTTATGGTAGAAGAAACATTAAAGTGCATTAGAGGAGTTATGTGCCTTTTTTTTTAACATATATAAACTTCACTTTGTCTTTCGAAAAGAGAAAGATTTAAAACAAAAAATAAGACTTTATTAGGGTTTTTCTCTCCACTCTCTCTCTATCTTCCTTCTTTTCTTTCTTATTGTTGCTTCTTTTATTTGTTTGTGTCTGAATTTTATCTTGTAGGTCACCATTTAGCTTGATCCATAATGTTAATGAAAATTTTTTTTGTGGTATCAAAAGCTATTCGTGGAAAACGAAAATTTAAATTAAACAATAAACTCAACATCTCATCAAAATACTATTTCTTCGAGTGAAAATCTTTTCAATCATTCTCATCCAAACAATTTATATTAGACTGGAGCTAATAAGAACTCAAACGTGTTGCTGGTAACACAATTGCTAACTATGAGTAACTATGATACTTAGACGAGATCTATAAAGCATGTACTGAGAATAAAAAATAAGTTAGAGTTTATTGATGAAAGCCTCAAAAAACCAATAAATTCAAGTAGTCCACTCATAAAATATTGTCTATGTTACGATAATATTGTCATTACGTAGATACAAAATATTTTGTCAGTTGACATCGAGTATAATACATTCTACATATATACGACTCTCAAGCTGTAGGTTAAGCTAGAGCAAAAACATGTGCCACAAAATGCTTCTATAATTTATAAGGTAAAATATAGTATAGCTAAACTCATGCATAATCAATGATTTGTAAGTGTTTACTTTTTAAAACTTAAAATCCTATTTGATGAACTATTAAGTTATGAATCAATCTCAAATTGCACATGCAGAGGGTTGAAAGTTGTAGTCAAATATCAATTAAAAAATTGAGTGGTAAAATTTTTCATATGGTTAAATAAGTCGTACGAGACAATAAAATCACATATATTATTAATCAAGTATTTTTTTGACCTAAACAAAAATGTATTCAATTGTCCGATAAAAATTAAAAAATGTATGTTCAATTTAAATTTTAAGATATATTTGAAATAAGTTTAAATATAATATGTGTTTATATAAATTTAAAATACATTGTTTAAATTATATATTTTTTAACTATAGTTTATAAATATTTTAACTTAAAAAGTACATACATTTATAGATAAAACTTATGGAATTGTATTAATTATATTTTATATTGTTTAAGACAAGAATTATGTTAAAAAATATAGGACTAATAATCCTAAAATTTTAATAAAATGTCTTAAATTAACCTCGTAATTATTGAATTATTGAATTCAAATCGATCATCAAATTCCCAATCATCCAAAAATTTTAATAATATATCTTAATTTAACCTCATAATTATTGAATTTAAATTGAGTTATTGGATATCGAGTTCCAAAACTGACGGTTGTGCAGCGGTATTCTACCGAATCGTCTGCCACTAATTTGAATATATATATATATATAAACACAGACACACACAGAAACACATGCACATATATAAATTTTTATCATCTGAAGTTGCAGTCTTTTAAGCATATGTAGAAGTCGTCCACCTTGTATTATTAGTTGAATTGATATTTTTGTTTCTGGAAAAGAACCAACATGTATAATTGTAAGGGAATAATGCTACGTTATTATCATTGTTAATTGACTTTGTATATTTCTTTGAAATAGTGTAATATTATATAATTATATATGTATATATATACACACACACACACACTTGTGCAAGAAATTTCAGTTTAACATGCTAGAACTCTGAAATTTATGAGAAATGTATGCGGTCAATACACGTTTCCACTCTGACATGCCATCAACACCAACAATCCCAATTGAGATTGTGAATTTTTTTTTATAAAAATAAAAATGTCATATATATATATATATATTTATTTATTTAAAAGTAAAAATAAAATTCTAAATTAGTGGAAAAGGCGAAAACCAGAATCGACGGTGCGTCGTGACACGTCGGTGGAGGTTGTCCGTATCCGTGATTTGAGGGGAAGAGGGGGAGGGGTTAGTGACGTGGGCGTTTTCGTTTCGAATAAAATAATGTCAACGTGGTCTCCGGTCAACTCTTTTGACCGCACGTGGAATTAAACATAGCTTCTAGCTTACTACCCCTTATAAGATTATATCTTCTTTTTCTTATTATTTTTTTTTAAAAAATTACTAGATAATTATAAGTGAAAATATTTTTGTTTAAAATATAAAATTCATTAATGTATAGAGCACCTAAGGAAATGACGAGGAGGACGATAACAGTCACTTTTTGAAAGGTGTTTTTCAGATGATATTTCCACGTGTCCCTGACTATAATAATGCTGAAAGGACTAGAAAATCGTAGTTTATTGCAAATTCTTTAGTATTATTCAATTTTAGTGACCCCTCAAAAAAAAACTATTACTTAAAATTACTAACCCGGTTTGAGCACCGGAAAGTTCTTAGTTTGTTGGCTATTAAATTAATTAATTAATTAATTAATTATGATTATGAGTTTAATTAATTAAACTCCCCGTTCAAATCTTGTAACCCAAGACCTGCGTTATCTTTATTGTAAAAATATTCCATACGGCGTCGTTAATTAATTTTCCAGATACACCACCTGCGCTATTCACATTATATATATATATATATACATGAAATTAAATCACATGTTCTTTTTTTTTTTTTTTTTTTAAAAAAAGAAGTATGAATCTTGATGTATCGCTCCCACATTTCAATATTATAAATGATCTATAGTTTTCACGTGCAAATCAAGCCAATTATTTATAAGTAGGTAAAATCATGACAAATGAGAGAGAAATATATTATATATAATGTAAGAATGATTTAATCATTTAAATAATAATAATAGCAATAATAACAAATTATTATTATTATTATTTTTAAAAAATGTGAAGGTAAAAACAAAAAGTTTAAGAAGGCAGGTGAGAAAAGTAAGATATGTCAACTGTAGCAGTCCCGAAAATTTAA